ATTAAGGAGAAATCAAAAAGTATCTGGAGACAAATGAAAATGATAACAAGCCATACCAACTGATATGGGATGCAGCAAAAGCTGTATTAAGAGGCAAATCCGTTGCAATACAGGCAAACCTTAACAAACAAGAAAAATCCCAAATAAGTAATCTCAAATTACACCTAGCTGAATTAGAAAAAGAAGAACACACAAAAGCCAAAGTCAGCAGAAGGAGAGAAATTATCAAACCAGAGCAGAAATAAATCCTATTGAAACAAAAAAGGGGTTAGAAAGAATCAATGAAACTAAGAGCTGGTTATTGGAAAAGGTAAACAAAATTGAGAAACCTTTAGCTAGACTCACCAAGAGAAAAAGATAGAAGGCTGAAATAATACGATCAGAAATGAAAAAGGAGAAATTACAGAGGACACCACAGGGATATGAAGGATTATAAGAGAATCCCATGAAAACCGATATGCCAACAAATTGGATAATCTATAAGAAATGGATAAATTCTTAGAATCATATAACCTTCCAAAACTGAATCAAGAAGAAATAGAAAGAGCCAGTCCCAATGGCCTAGTGGTTAAAAGTTCAGCACTCCCCACTTTGGCAGCTCGGGTTCACTTCCCAGTTGCAGAACCACGCTACCTGAACATGGCAGAACACACTGCCATGTGGTGGTGGCAGCTCACATAAAAGAACTAGATTGACTTACCACTAGGATATACAACTATGTACTGGGGCTTTGGAAAAGAAAAAGAAAATAAAAAAGAGGAAGATTGGCAACAGATCTTAGCTCAGGACCAATCGTTCCCTGCAAAACAAAAACAAAAACAAAACAGGTTAGCTGTTATTATAAAAAGGAGAAGTAAAAAATAGAGAATCTGAGTAGACTGATCACTAGGAAAGAGATCGAAACAATAATCAAAAACCTCTCAAAAAGCCAAAGTCCAAGACCAGATGGCTTCCCCAGTGAATTCTACCAAACATTCAGCAATGACCTAATACCTATCCTTCTCAAACTCTTCCAAAAAGCTGAAGAGGAGGGGACCCTTCCTAACTCATTCTACAAGGCCAACGTTACCCTGACACCAAAACGAGACAAGAGTAACGTAAAATAGGAAAACTCTGGCGACTATCACTGATGAACACATATGCAAAAATCCTCAACAAAATACTAGAAAATCGAATACAGTACATCAAAAGGATCATAACCATGGTCAACTGGGATTTATTCCAGGAATGCAAGGATGATTCAACTTCCACAAATCAATCGACGTGAGACACCCCATTAACAAAAGGAAGGATAAAAAATCACAAAATCATCTCAATAGATGCAGAGAAAGCATTCAACAAGATGCATCATCCACTTATGATAAAAGCTCTGAATAAAATGGGTATGGAAGGAAAGTACCTCAACGTAATAAAGGACCTATAAGACAACCCCACAGCTAACATCATACTCAATGGAGAAAAATTGAAAGCTATTCCTCTAAGAACAGGAACCAGACAAGGATGCCCACTGTCACCACTCTTACTTGACACAGTATTGGAAGTCCTAGTGAGCGTAATCAGGAAAGAAAAAGAAATAAAGGGATTCAAACTGGAAAGGAAGAAGCAAAACTGTCACTATTGCAGATGACATGATTTTATACATATAAAACCCTAAACAACCCACCAGAAAACTGTTAGAAATAATAAACAAATATAGTAAAGTTGCAGGGCACAAAATCAACATACAGCAATCAGTTGTGTTTCTTTGCACTAACAATGAAATAGCAGAAAGAAAAATTAAGAATACAATCCCATTTACCCTAGCAACAAAAGGAATAAAATACCTAGGAATAAATTTAACCAAGAAAGTGAAAGACCTGTACAGTGAAAACTATAAAACACTGTCGAAAGAAATCAAAGAAAACACAAAGAAATGGAAAGATATTCTGTGCTCACGGATTGGAATAATTAACTTAGTTTAAATGTCCATACTTCCTAAAGCAATCTACAGATTCATTTCAATCCCTATCAAAATCCCAATGACATTTTTCACAGAAATAGGACAAGGAATCATATATCTAAAATTTATGTGGAACAACAAAAGACCCCAAATATCCAAAGCAACCCTGAGAAAGAAGAACAAACCTGGAAGTATCACACTCCCTGACTTCAAAACATACTACAAAGTTATAGTAATCAAAACAGCACAGTCCTGGCACAAAAACAGACACACAGATCAATGGAACAGAAGTGAGAGCCCAGAAATAAATTACACATCCATGGACGGCTAATTTTCTGACAAAGGAGCCTAAAGCACATGATGGAGAAACGAAACACTCTTCAGTAAATGGTGTTGGGAAAACTGGATGGCCACAGGCAAAAGAATGAAACTAGACCGTTATCTTGCACCATACACAAAAATTAACTCAAAATGGATTAAAGATGCGAATGTATGACCTGAAACCATAAAACCCCTAGAAGCAAATAGAGTCAGGGTACTCTTTGACATTGGTCTTAGCACTGTCTTTTTGAATACCAGTCTCCTCAGGCAAGGGAAACAAAAGAAAAAATAAAGAGATGGGAATATGTCAAACTAAAAAGCTTCTGCACAGCAAAGGAAGCCATCAACAAAAGACAAACCTAACAATTGAGAGAAGATATTTGCAAATCATCGATCTGATAAGGGGTTAGTATCCAAAATATACAAAGAACTCATACAACTGAGCAACAACAACAATAAAAAACAAAATGCCCAATTAAAAATAGGAAGAGGATATGAACAGACATTTTTCCAGAGAAGATATACAGATGGCCAACAGACACATGAAAAGATGTTCCACATCGCTAATTATTAGGGAAATGCAAATCAAAACTACAAGGAGATATCACCTCATTCCCCTCAGAATGGCTATTATTACAAAGACAAGAAATGACAAGTGTTGGAGAGGATGTGGAGAAAAGGGAACCCTCATACACTGCTGGTGGGAACGTAAACTGGTGGAGCCTCTAAGGAAAATAGTATAGTGATTCCTCAAAAGATTAAGAATAGAACTACTATGTGATCCAGCTCTTCCACTTCTGGGTATTTATCCAAAGAACACAAAAACACTAATGCTAAAAGATATTTGCACCCCTATGTTCATTGCAGCATTATTCACAATAGTCAAGACTTGGAAACAGCCTAAGTGCCCATCAACAGATGAACGGATAAAGAAGATGTGGCCTCTCTCTATATATATTTATATACAATGGAATACTACTCACTTATTAAAAACAATGAAATCTTGGTATTTGCGACAACATGGATGGACCTTGAGGGTATTAAGGTAAGTGAAATGAGTCAGATTGAGAAAGTCAAATACCATATGATTTCACTCCTAAGTGGCAAATAAAGACAACAGCAACAAACCAACACATAGATATAGGAACTAGATCGGTGGTTACCAGAGGGGAAGCAGGGAGGGAGGAGGGTGAAAGAGGAGATAGGGCAGATGTGTATGGTGACAGATGGAAATTAGTCTTTGAGTGGTGAACATGATTGAGTCTAGACAGAAATTAAAATATAATCAAGTACACCTGAAACTTATATAATGTTACAAAGCAATGTTACCTCAATAAAAAATTACTAAATTAAAATATTTTTTAAAAAGAGAAGAGGGGCCTGCCCGATGGCGCAGCGGTTAAGCGTGCACGTTTGGCTTCAGCGGCCCGCAGTTCGCCGGTTGGGATCCCGCGTACGGACATGACACTGCTTGGCAAGCCATGCTGTGGCAGGAGTCCCACATATAAAATAGAGGAAGATGGGCCCGGATGTTAGCTCAGGGCCAGCCTACCTCTGCAAAAAGAGGAGGATTGGCAGCAGTTAGCTCAAGGCTAATCTTCCTCAGGAAAAAATAAAAAATAAAAATGAATGAAAATAAAAAGAGAAGAAGTAACAAGTGTTGAAGAGGGTATTATGCTAAGTGAAATAAGTCACATGGAGGAAGACAAATACTGTGTGGTTTCATTCATATGTGGAATATGAAAATAACAAAATAAATGAACAAACAAAACAAAAACAAACACAGATACAGAAAACAGATTGGTGATTACCAAAGAAGAAGGGGATGAGAGGAAGGTGAAATGGGTAAAGGGGGTCAATTGTATGGTGACGAATGGAAACTAGATTTTGATGATGAGCATGCCGTAGCATGTACAGAAGTCAAATTGTAATGTTGTACACATGAAACTTATATAATGTTGTAAACCAATGTTGGCTCAACAAAAACAAAGAAGATACAGAAGTTTCCCATCACTCCAGAAAGTTCCCTCTATTCCTCCATTCCCCCACTTCAGGAACTACTGATATGAATTCTATTCCCAGGAATTAGTTTGGAGTATAATAGAACTTCACACAAATTAAATCATATCTTAATTTCTGTGATTTACATCCATGTTCTTACATGTGTCAAAAATTTGTTCAGATTTACTGAGTTTCATTCCACTGGATGAATGCACCTGTTTATTTATCCATTCATTAACTGATTACTGGTGGTTTGTTTCAGGTTGTGGAATAAATTCATGAATGACACTGCTATGAACATTCATATACAAGTGTCTGTGCGTAGTTTCCTAGGCCTAGAATTGCTGGGACATACGGTAGGTATAAGTTTCCCTTTATAAGAAACTACTATTATGCACTCTAATTTGTCTTCTCATGACCTCTGTTTACTCTTTCTTTCCATCAACCACCCCCTACAGCATTCAAGTTTTACCATTTATGAATCTAAGTCTCTCCTCAAAATTCTTATAAAGAGAAGCTTCCACTCTCCTCTCCATTCTCTATTTTAGTTAAATGTTGATCCCTTATCTTATTAAGGTGTGAGGGGAAAAAAGTCATAAGTGTCTTAAAATTGCAACAAACCCACTTATTCTTCCCCTGTGACTTCTCCAAGAGTCCGTGGCACTTTTGAGCCCAGGTATACACACTAATTTTCCTAATTCCTCCCATTTTCTTTCCTTCTCTAAGTCCCCTGAGCTAGGATCCCCAGATGCCTGAGCACAGCCTCCCCTAATAAACACACATTGTTATGTCATAGCTCCCCCCTCCCTCCTCAACCTCCCCAGGGTGCCAAGCCTTCAGCCTGTCTCTGCTCTCCTCATGACTACACTGCTAGAGAAGTTGCTGTTTCAGGAATAGTCTTGCCTGCCTCCCACCTGACTGCACTGTTTTTTGAGTCACGGTCTCCCACACTCATGGGGCCTTCCTGGGCCCAGGCCCACAAGACAGGCGATCTCTGGCTGCCTCTGCTCTGTCTGCTCCTGTCCCCGGTCTGCTGCTCCCATGCCCGACCAGGATGGCGCTTCACTTCCTCTGAAGTTGTGATCCCCAGGAAGGTCTCCCATAGGGTAAGTGGAGCTGAGATACAAGGCCAGCTTTCCTACAAGATTCACTTCAGGGGCCAAAGACATGTGGTTCACCTGAAAGTCAAGAAGAACTTGCTGCCCAGACATTTTCCTGTTATCACCGATGACGACCAAGGTGCCATGCAGGAGGACTACCCTTATGTCCCCCGGGACTGTTACTACTACAGCTACCTGGAAGGGGTTCCTGGGTCTATGGGCACCCTGGACACCTGCTATGGGGGTCTGCATGGCATGCTGCAGGTGGATGACTTCACTTATGAGATCAAACCACTGGAGTCTTCTTCCAAATTTGAGCATGTGATTTCCCTGCTTGTGTCAGAAGAAAGATCAGAGGTGGAAAGGTGTACGATTGAGGAGGAAGATAAAGATCACGCATATGAAGAGGCAACACTTGCTGAAACTCCTAGAGCAGCCCCTGTGTATTTGTGGTGGCCACATAGGAAATACTTAAAACTTCACTACACGGTTACTAACTCACTATATGTTCTGGATACAAACCAGACACGTATAGTAGAGAATGTAGTGCTTATAGACAACATATTGGATACCATTTTCAGCCAAGCTCATTACCATGTTCACGTACGTGCTATATGCATATGGAATGATTCAGATAGGGTGAACTTATATAATTGGGCAACTGCTTGGGGAGCTTTAAATGATTTTGGGCTGTGGAAATGGCATGGATGGTATACCTCACTTCCTCATGATAGTTCATTGATTCTTACAGCACGGAAAATCAGTCGCGTCTCACATTATGCTTTCCAAGATGGAATATGCAACCCCAATTGGGGAGTAGCATACGCATTAGTAGCAAATTATCACATATTTTTAGCTTCATCTATTGCAGCGCATTCACTATGTCATTTATTTGGTGTTAATCATGACACAGCTGGTTGTCATTGTTTTCGGAGAGCCAGCTGTGTCATGTCTGCTGAGCCTGGTCTTCTAGATATGATGAGCAATTGTACATATGGCAGAATGCATGATCGGGCTTCTATGTGGGATCCTTGTGGGAGTGTTCGAAATAACCCATACACAAATTTTCCATATGTAGCTCCTCGTTGTGGTGACAAGATCATAAATATGGATGAAGAATGTGACTGTGGCTCCCTTAAAGCTTGTAGTGACGATAAATGTTGTGAGACCCATTGTGCCCTCAGCACCGGCAGTGTTTGTAGTATAGGACCTTGCTGCATTGGCTGTAGGTATGCTCAGCCTGGAAAGGTTTGCAGAGACACGCCTGGTATTTGTGATCTACCAGAATACTGTAACGGGAGAACACATGTTTGTCCAGATGACCTTTATATCCAGGATGGAACCCCATGTTCACCATTAGCTGTTTGTGTGAGTGGAAACTGTACTGACCGTGATATGCAGTGTCAAGCCCTTTTTGGCCACCAAATAAAAGATGCTGCAGCAATATGCTATGAAAAATTGAATCTAATTGGTGACCGATTTGGAAACTGTGGGGTGAGGGTGACACGAGGAGGAGGAAAACCTGTGACATGTGAAGGTGATGACGTTTTTTGTGGGATGCTACACTGTAGTGCAGTTGGCCAGATTCCTGGTGGAGGTGACCATACTACATTTCGTCATATACTAGCAGATAATGAAAAATGCTTTGGCTACGATGCACACGATGGGACAGAACTGCCAGAATTTGGGCTTGTAGTGGATGGTGCAACATGTGGGCCAGGAAGATATTGTTTAAATCAGAACTGTACTTTTTATCAAGACATTAATTTTGACTGTGATATCCAGACATGCAACTTCAAAGGGGTGTGCAACAACAGGAGACAATGCCACTGTATGGACGGTTGGAAACCACCATCATGCGCGGAGAGAGGACCAGGTGGTAGCCTAGACAGTGGCCCTCCACCTGACAAAACACTACGTCTTCAAACCAAAATAATATTTTCTCTCAACAAGGGAATATTTCTACTGCTTATACGTTTCATTCTTTTTGGGATTGCAATTCTTGGTGGTGTCTGTTCAAAATTAGAAGGAACTCTAGAAAAGAGAATGGAGGAAGAAAGTGTTGAAGAAGGCTAACAGCCTCAATCCAAGTACATACTAACTGGAATGCACAAAATGGCAAAACTCACATTGGCCCTTGCTGGAAGAAATGGTCAATAATCACTCTGATAATCACATAATCCTATAACTATTCTGAGGTTGTCATCTTGAAATAAAATGACTTGGCAGGTAAAAATGGATCTGTGTGTTTAAATCCACTTAACATTTCATGTCTGGTCATGGTATTACTATTCCTGTAGATAATGGAGGGAACTCTTGGATTCACCAACAAGAGGATCTGTGTTTATTTAAAACGTGGATTCTAATGTTTTATAGGCATGCCTGTAGCGAATCTTCTTTGTATTGGTATGCACTTGTTTAACAGTTCATTGGACTTTTTCCCAATGGGTTATGTACTAGATTTTTGTGATTTGTTCATGTTTTTCCTCGTGTTAAATAAGCATAAGAAGAAACCTTGACAGATCCAGTAGGAAGATACAAAACTTTGGTGTCACAGGCACGTGAATGTCAACAGTAGTTCAACCACCTGGTAAGTATGTGATCTTGACCAAAGTATTAGGCTTTCAGAGATTCAAAGTTACATGTTACATTGACAGACGAAATGTACTTTTCCAGAGTTTTGTGATCATCAGTGGAAAGCAACTAAGAAGAGCCCAGAACATCTTAGGCACTTAATACATGCTAACGCTATCATGCTCATTATTTTCCTGGGTTGTGCTACACCTGGGGTATTCCAAATATACTGCCTTGGCATTGTATCTTGTAAAACCATCACATGAGGAGCCATTGATCACTGATATATCACTTCTTAAGGCATCTAGTTATTAATGTCGTAGTATTCACAGTCAAAATCTCAGGAATTGTCTAAGCACGGCTGTATATAAAGTACAGGACGGAACTTACTGGTAGATGGACAGAGAGAAAAGTTTAGGTAGAAACAGGACACGACCGTTTCAAAAAGAGTGCAGTAGAACAGGGTCTGATAGACGATAAGTGTTACATTCATGCTGTTTAAATGCCTCAGGTCTTAGATCAAATCTCTTTCTGAAAATATGGAGTCCAATATTTCAGATGAGGGTAGCTACCAAAGGGGAGGGGAGAGACGCATGAGTAGAGGATCAATAGGATGGCCACTCTACGATGTTGTAATTTGTCCATCTCGTACAGAGCTCTCTTGACCAGCATTTCTTGTCCAGGTGGCTTATCTGGTAGAGTGATCTGGATCTTCATCTGTGAAGAACCTGAGTCCCCATTTACTATGCCCTTGTCAAACATGCGTTGCTGCATTTGCACTTGGCACCGGTATCTACTCACAAGGAGGTTAAATAACCATTTACTAACTGATCCAAATAACCATTTACTAACTGGTTATTTCTTGCTGGTCCAAAGGCAGTGTTGAAACTAGAGTGTGTCTTCTGGAAGGGGAGTCATTTTGTTTTGATTTGAGTAGTCCATTTGTCAAAGTATGATAACTGTGGACCCTGTAACCCTTTTTCTCTCTTTATTTCCATTTTCCCAATATGTGCTCATATTCTTATTGATCTGTTTTGCATTTGTGAAGGATCTTTTGTTTCCCTCAAGCTGTTTAATTTTGGGTACCATAAATTTGAGCATGGGCGGTTTTTCTCTTTCGTTATCCTGTTACCTCCAAAATGGCAAACTCAGTGTTTTAACCTGAGGATGGATGTGGTCTGCTAGTCTATTTAGTGTTTCTAAATAGCATTTGATATCTCAGGTCATAGGCCATAATTTTTAGAAAGGTGGCTGTGTCATGTCAAGGACTAATATGAGTTTTCCTTAAAAGTGCTTTCTAACTGGTGCTAGACATTTGAGACAGATTCACTACACTCTAGTCAACAAGGTTGGATGCTTCAGAAATGCAGAATCACTCAGGGTTAGCCTTCAAAAGATTTTTTTCCCTATTTCTAGAGCTTTGTCATATCAAGAAGGGATGAATTTCCAGGACCACGATAAGAGGGAGCTGGAGAAGGTGAGGAAGAAGAGCAAGAGGGGCTGATAGGAAGATAGGGATCAGGGTAGGAGGGAGGTGAGAATGGAGTGGAGTTAGGAGAGACCAGAACAGGGGTAGACAGAAGGGACAAGGACTTTGGCAGGGGAAGAAGGTGGAAGTTGTTTAAAAGAGGCCTGAAAAGATTAGAATCTGTTCAAAGTATTTCTTTCCTTGGCTTCTTTGTAGCAACTGATGTAAGCTGCCCATGGTGTGACAACTATTCTAATACGCTCTCTTCTAAGATACCACAATACACAAGTTTGACAATGCCCACGAAATCAAAGGCCACTGCAGCCCAAGATTGTACTTACTGAAATCATGCCACGTTGAGAGGAAATTAATAGCAGTAGGACCTTGTGGCAGACCATATATCTAGAGCAAATCTGGCCAGGGGTTTGGGTAGACCAGGAGTTTCCTCTAGTGAAAGAAGTCTGAGCTAGAAGGAGGGACCTGCTCTACCTTAGGAAAAATGCCCAATTCTCTGCTCATCCAAAGAACTCCAAAAAACTGAAGGAGAAATACTGACAGCAGTCTGACAAGAGGTTGACCTACAAAACAATGACAGCCTGCAACCTCCATGCTATGAAAAATGCAGAGAACAGGAGGAGGACTTACCTCCCCAGCCAAGGGAATTAGGTTCTTTGATATATGCTGGTCTTGACCCAAACAGGCAGTGTTGGGGGTTTGTCCAACCTCTCTCAGGCAATGGCACCAAAGTATACAAACAAAAACAAAAACAAAGATTTATGAGACTCAAGTAGAGGTTAAAGGTTTCATTCAGTTGTGGTGGATCAGGGAATACCCGAAAACCAGGTGAATACACAACTGAAACAGAGTCAAGGTTTTTATAAGATAGGAAGAATTTGAATAACCATCCTGTATTTTAACCTTAGGGCCAGTTCACCTTTTGCCAAAACTTGTAGCTTGGGGTTGGTCCTGTTTTCATGCCCCTCATTGGGAGTTCCTATAACCAATAGAACAGTATTTCTGAGAACTGTTTTTGCAAGCCTCGTGGTATTTTGAGATTGTTGTTGGGTGTGGGAGGTATAAAGACAAAAATGGAAATGGGCAGAGCAGAAGATAAGGGGAAACACGAGACTGTATATATCGTTTGTTTGAAAACTTTTGCACCTTTATCCTCAAGGAGTCTGAGACTTTCTCGGTCAAGATTGCTGCACAAGTCCGTTCACAGTTACCATTGCCCAAGGGAGTTCCACGCGGCTCCCAAATGAAACACCTAGGTTCCATATATCACCCTCCACGCTCCTACTGAGGCTTAGCAGCCTTACCTCCCCTTTCTACTCAGGGTCAATTACTGCGTCCAAAATAGCGACTTCTCTTCTCCACTGGCTGGTCCTTGAACACAAGATATCTGAAGTGCCTTGATGGCAGTTGTAGCTTGCAGTTCTGTGGGACTCATGCTGTGTTCCTGGCTAAAGTGCAGTCCCTGTGGACCAAGACCTACAACCCTGGAGAACACACAGTTGCAGGGAGGGCAAGCAGAAAAACCACCAGTGGATCATTAAGAGTGATGGTAAGTAGGGCCACCCAACTTCTGCTCCTTGGTTCCTGGTCCCATATGTTCTTTGTAATGGATAAACAGTACTGTGCAGCAGTCTTTGATTTAAAATACACACTGTTCCATGAAGGATGGCACTCTATCCTTCTGGAGTATTGTTTCTGAGCTGGCATTTTTTTGTGTCTTCAGTAGGCTGTTGCAGCACAGTGTGAGGGTAGTTGTTACTGAATATTTGATATGTGATGCAAACAATGGATTCCATTGGGATAGACCCATCCCTGTACCTCATTCACTGAAGAATGAGTTATCGGTTCATATGCTAAGTCATGTGGGATTCCATGGTTAAACATCATGTGCTTCATAGGTAAGCCCCCAAGAGTGGTGCTGGCTGTGTCTACACAGGCAGAAAAGGCAATTTGTCACAACTAGAATAGGTATCTATTCTTATGAGGACTAATTGCTGATCCTTCCAGGACGGAAGGGGCCTGATGTAGTCAACTCCCCACCAATTAGCTGCTAGGTTTCCTTGGGGAAGAGTGACTTGGCAGCTTTGGTCTTTGTTGTTGGCAAGTTGGCCATTTGGAGACAGCAGTACTTCACTTGACTCCTTTGGCAAGTGGGAGTCCATGCTATTGAGCCCAGTGTAGCCACTACCTCTGCCACCATGGCCACTCTGTTCATGTGCCCATTGGGCCAGTTCCAGGGTGGTCAGTGCTGAAGTTTGTCTAAGGTTGACTGGCCAAGCCATTTTCCCTGCTTGGTTTTCCAGGGCATCTTTCAGGGTGCATGCTTCTTCGTAGGCATGAACCTGTGCTACAAAAACCTTCACACTTGCCGACTACTGCTCTATCTGAAGCCATGTATCTCTACCCTACACCACCTTTTCTCTGACTCTCTAGTCCTTCTATTCCAGGCCCCTGACCAGTTGGTAAGAACCTTAGCTGCCTGAGGTGGTTTCATTTGAGGCCCACCTTGGGCCACTTACCCTTCCACATAGGGTAGATGAACATGCACACTAGCCATAACTCTGCCCAATACAATGATTTTGTTCACTTTACTGTCTTTAGTCATCTCTGAAGAGGAATGTTGTGTGGCCATCTTCCATGTTGGGTTTGAACCTACATACCACGTCTACCCTTCCATATACCAATTTCAGGCGTTTTAGTCCTCCTTCAGCTGGCTTAACAAAACCCCCACGTGGGCATATATGCAAGCTGAGTGCAGTGTGCTCGTGAAACCATGGGAAATGATATGGTGACTCCAACTACCTGTTCATACAGCTTTACACAAGTCTTCTCCTCTTGTATGAGCTTCACATTAGATGTTCTCTTTGGATCTTACCATGAATTGCTGCCAGATCCGTCTCACTTTATGGCTTCAAAGAACCAAAAGGACCTAGTTTATACTGTATGATTCAAGGCACATGCTCATTTGCAGCCTCACAGTCAAAAAGCCATGTTGCCCAGAGCCCCAGAACACACCAAGAGCTGTTTCTCGATGGGCAGATGGCATGATCTTGTTTCAAACCCCCAGGGCTTGGACTGTGATTCTCCTTCTTGCGCTTGCCACAAGCTCCGCACTGTATCTTTTCCCATCACCAGTAACCCCCACAGGGTCAGAGAGCTCAGGTGTGCCAGACTTTACA